CCCCAAAACCCCAAAACCCCAAAACCCCAAAACCCCAAAAGGCACCCAAAAGTTTAAAATTTTGCTTTATATTTTATAATTTTTCCAAATGGATACTAAGATGACACCTCCTGACAAGATGGCACAACATTTTAAGGAAGTAAATGCTCCTGGTATATATAAATTTAACTGTTGTGTAGGGATTTCAAAGATTGAGTTCAAATTAAAATCAAAATCACGAGGAAAGCTGAACAAATAAATGCGGTCTTGCTGTATTATTGTACTTTGTAGCTCATGCATTTTGTATCCTCGGAATCTGCATAACAAATCCCTCGTCGATGCATTTATCTAACCTTTTCAACTTCATAATGTGGTCTCTGGTTCTATTGAGCATGGGCTTTTACATAAAGTTAGTGCTGACTCCACCCGGATTCTTAGAAGCAAGTGTGATTAATATAGATAAACTACAGTCAAATCATCAGCATAGCTCTCCTAGGGTCACTAATTTCTCTCAAAAGATGAGTGAAAATGCTGAGGAAAGAAATACTTCCCCTATTAGGCCTATGAAAGGCGGCAAATCAAAGAAGAAATATATTGAACTTGATGAATCTGAAGGGAATGAGTACAATAAGTCATCAGGCAGGAGCTCTACAAAGAAGATAGCTTCAAAGAAAGTTAACCCAAATTCTTCAAAAGTTTATAGAAGGAAATCTGTGTTCGAGGGTAAAGAAGGTTCTCCAAAACTCATCAAGAGGGAAGATATGAAGAAATTGCGGAGCAGAAATTCTAAAGACGAAGAGCGCAAGAGAGTCTATGACAAGATCAACGACAGGATCGCTCATAGCTGAGTCACACAGGAGGACAACACCGGCCAAGAAGCGCTAGATGATGATAAATGCAAGGCATTTTTTGAACAAATTGAGCACGAAAAGGTCAATTTTGATTCGTCACTTTTATATGGCACAACACAACCAGCCGGTAAAACAAGGAAGATCAGTGATTTCGGAGGTGATGAAGAAGAAATTAAAGAGAACATGAAAGAAAACCCAGAACAAGTTACAGAGAAAATTCATGATTTTGAAGACCCTGCCAGAGAAGGCACAGATAAGCACCATGGCCTTTATGGAGAGGAAATAGACAATGATGTCGTAACACTTGATGATGAGAATGAAGATGAAAAGAATGATATCGAAAACCGTCCTACCAAACACCTGGCTGATGTAATGATCGATAGGCAAGAAAATAGCTTAAATATTTCAAAGTAAGGAGTATTCAGTAAATATTTAGACTTAGACCTTTAGAGCTCAACTCAAGTCATCTTAAGTTAAATGAATCCAAGTTTCACTTTGGCGAAGTTTCAAAACAGAACAAAAACAAGGAGATTATAATAGACTGTCTTGATGATCCGGAGATGGCAAATACTCAAGCTCTTGAAGAAAGAATACCTATTAACTTTGAAACCCACTACTGTACAAAATGAAGCCTTGAACAACCTCTGAGAGCAAAGCATTGAAACGAATGCGGAAAATGAGTTGCAACTTTTGATCACCATTGTCCATTCATTGGAGGTTGTGTAGGAGAGAAAAACAGGAGGTTCTTCTTTATGTTCATTTATTCCCAATACTTTACGATGATCTATGGGTTGATTTATTCGATATGCATATACTTCACATCTGACGCAAGCTCCATCTTCCTATTTTTATATATGCTGATAATCTACCTAACCGAGTTGTTCTTTATCTTATTCTTGACATCCCTGACAACTGTTCACACATATCTTGCTATAAACAATATGACTACTTGGGAATTTCTTTCCAGGAGTTCCATTACTTATTTGACAAACTGGCCGAGGAAGTACGGCTCACCTTTTTCTAAAGGGACTCAACAAAACTTGAAAATTTATTTTAACCCACCAACTAAGGGGAAAGATATCATGATGTGGGAGTTTCCAGATGCTCTTCCTACTTTTGAAGAGGGCGAGGTGCTGATCCGTTCATCTCCATTGACTCAGTACTATGTGAGATTGTGTGGAGATTAAGGTTTAATGTAGGTAAAATTTAGAGGTTCAGTGGGAGATGAGGGAGGTGGGGTTTTGGGGTTTTGGGGTTTTGGGGTTTTGGGGTTTTGGGG